TATTTCCCACATCAATATTTGTTAACGCTGAATTTATTTTCAATGCTTCTGCAATTGCTTTGGCCCCCTCAAATGATATATTATTGCTTCCAATAGCAAGATTCGTTAGTGTTGTGTTCGTTTTCAATGCTTCCGCAATTGCTTTGGCCCCTTCATCGGATATACTGTTATTAGCAATATCAAGGCTTGTTAATGTTGAATTTGTTTTCAGTGCTTCTGCAACTGCTTGGCTCCCTTCAAACGATATATTGTTTAGCGCAATATTAAGTCTTGTTAACGTTGAATTTGTTTTCAATGCTTCTGCAAGTGCTTGCGCCCCTTCAAATGATATATTGTTTGACGCAATATTAAGAGTCGTTAATGTTGAATTTATTTTCAACGCTTCCGCAACATCTTTGGCCCCTTGGGACAATATATCTTTGTATCGAATATCCAGACATGTTATGTTATTATGTCTTAGTTTCTCGAGGATTTCGTGTCCGTCCGCAGAATTATGCCACATTGTTTGTGAGACCACGGTTGGTACAAGAGATGAAGGTGACCGGTGACTGAATGAGGGTAATTCGTGACAATTGAAGATAAACGGGTAGTATCCTTGCTCTCGATATTTATATACCAATAAAACTGTAGTTTTTGTGAGAGAAACAAAAGGACAAAAAAATATAAATGTTTTTATATTACAAATAGTTGATTTACTACCTTGGTAGTTTTGGCCGATTCTTCATAGAAATATTGTATTGTGCTTATCCAACCATGCAAATTTATTTGCAATCTGTGAAAACTCAGCAATGTCACCAGTTACACCATGTACGGTTGAATAAGCACAGGATAATATTCGTATGAAGTATCGGACATTACAAAAACTAGTAATGCAGGTATATCGACTATATGTAATATAAAAATATGTTTTTTTGTCTCTTTCTCTCTTCTCAAAAAATACAGCTTTGTTAGTATGAAGCGGCCAAAACAGTTGCAAAAGCACTGAAAATAAATGCAACACTAACAAGCGAAATATCGTGTGGAGGGACTACAGCAGCTGCAGACGCATGAAAAATGAACCGTTTATGTGCAATGACAGGAGTCTGAGTACTTGAATCCGAGAGGAGTGTTATAAACTTAGCGAACAATCAATTTTCGGATGCGGTTACATCAATATCTTAGTCTGACGCCTATAACTTCACCGGAAATATATTCACTGCTTTGTTGTTTTTTCTTTGTTTCCATACAAACGCCTGGGTGTTCAGTGTAGTAGTGGAAATGTTTGGAAGCGTCGGGGAGCGCTTCGCACTGGGCTTCAGCACACTAGACTAGACATACGCCTAATGAACAGTAGACGCGGGATAACGGACAAAGTGACTGGCTTTATAATTTTAAATATGGACAAACATAGCGTTTTACGATAGATCTCCCCTATAACCTGTTTATAAGAAAGATTTTTGAAATTAGGTTTTGCGCAAAGATATCAAATCGTCTTTTTCGGACAGTACAAACTACACGCCTGTATTTTTTTACGTTTAAACGTTATTCAAAAATATTTTTACGAAAAGCTTTACCAATTGGGAAAATGTTTGTTAGAAACAACAAAACACTAAATAATGTGAGATAAACACAAGATTAACAAGTCGTTCCATAACATGAAACGGTAATAGACCGGAACCTTTGAATGTCTTGTTCAAATCAGCCCTCAAATGCAGAGAGTTTTTTCTGCGTGGGCTAACTTAGTAAGGAATCGGGTGAACACTCAAAAAATGATACGAAGTAACAGAAAAACATGATAAGTGATTATATGAGAAATACATTTCAGAAGGAGAAAATGTTTTTTTTCATGAAACACGTGTCTTTATCTGAAACAGCAATATTTAGCGATGAACAACCTCATCCTCATCGTGTTTAGGACAGTGCTGTACATCTTCCATGAGTACTTTCAGAAGCCTAACTGAACCTTCAACTGGAAAAGAAATGATGAAAAGAGCACGGTGTTTTGGTTCATTAATCAAGGTCTTTTGCTGCCTTCTTGACTGGTGTAAAAAAAAATGGGTATACGGACTCTTCCGCGAACGACATTTCCACAAACCTTTTGTGCTAATCCACCCTTCCGCGATTGACATTCTCTTCGCACTCACTCTCAAGCTGCTTACTGCCATTACGTTTCAATTCACGGAGTTGTGTCAAGAAAAAATTAAAATCTGTTTCCAGATTTGACTCGTTTAGTATAATAATAATAATAATAAATGAAAGACAGATTCTTCTAACAAGATATTTCTCTTGAATATTCATTTCTTTGTTTTCTTTAATTCCTAGCTGAAAGTTGTGAATACAGGAGTGGCAGGTTTACTCGAGTGTTTTAGCTTGAGAGACTATATTTTTAATGGACGTTCGAACAAAAAAATAGAACAAAGCTCCATTTTGATCGAATTAAATCGAACAGAACCAATTGCGCTTTAGAAAATGTGCTTCCAAATCGAATCACCTTTCCTAATTCGTTTAAGGCTCTGATGTGTATAGAAGATGAAGACTATATTCCTATTCATATGTGCATGCACAAGGATGCTTAGGGTTGTGGGAGAGCTTAAAATATTATTTGGTAACTCATCATCATGTCATTAGCTTTGCACACCTCTTCAAAATCCAAAGCATTCATATATATGAGTGAATTGCATAACCATTGTATCGTTGGCTGTCGGAGAATGTTTTGCTTGTAAAAACTGTTCTGTTCAACCGATTTTAAATTTCTTTTTTTTGTTTTGTTTGTCCAGTAATGGTCATTCACTTGTGAGAAAAAGAACTCTCCATCTCAAGTGGGTGCTGAGATATAGATCAAACAAGACCAAAGTTCGCTGTTTTTGGCACCATCTGGAAAAAGAATCAAATTTTTTCTCTGATTTATTTAAACTAGTTCTAAAAGTTTTTTAGCGTTTGTTGTAGCCTGTAAAGTAGGCTTTCAGAATTCGTACTTTGAATTTAAATAAAATCATATTTTGACTCTGGTTTTATCAAAAAACTCTGTTTACAAACACTTTTGCAAAATTCTGTCTACCGAGATTAGAACTCTATTAATATGCCAATGACCAAACCTGAAAAGTTTTAAAACAGACAGAAAGATAGAGCGTACAAAGCTCTACATTCTCGATGAAAAAGAAAATCTTTTAGAGTTTTTTATCCAGTCGAAAATCAGGATGAAACATGTATTCGATCTGGTTTTTTGTATAAAATGTCCACCGAGATTTTGAAAATTGTTTGGTCTATAACTACGGAACCGTTTATCCGTTAGAGCCGAACCCTTTACCCTTTTATTCATTTACTTACTGTCCAGAATATGTGAAAAAAACGGCAGCTCTCTAGCGGTGCTATAACAATTCGTATTAGTCTTTTTTGTCTCCGTCAATTCGTCTCAGTCTATTTGTCTCGCATAGTATTCGTCTCCAACAATTTATCTCACGGAAAATTTGTCCGTTCGTCATTTCGTCTCAGCTGTATAATTAGACAATTCGTCTCACAGAGAAAAGACACATTCAAAAAGGGCAGTAAAGAAGAATATACTTGCATCATCCTTTTTATCTTATTGTTTTTGTTCTTTGCTTTCCATACCTACCCTATCTTAGCTTAAATGTTTTATATGGAATTGTAAGATCAATTTAACTCTTCGTTTGTTTGATAATATACATAATGACTGATATAAAGAAATTACTAACGGGAAAAGGTAATGATATGATCTATTACGCTGGTTATGTCGACACTATAGTTCGAAGTACTGATATTAAAAATATTTTTCGGTGTGAAATCGTGATTGTAAAGATAAAAAATGCTCAGAAAATGGTTTTTTTCCGCAGCCAGTGCTTCCTATATAATTCAGCTGATGATTATTTATGTGGGATAGCAGCAAATTTAACATTAGCCACATAGTACTTGTGATAGATTGTTCTTAGTTTTGGAATTGTCGCTGAAACCAAAAGACTGAAGCGAATTGTCGGGTCACCTATGTTTTGTCTTCGATCAAAATAACTTAAAATTCCAACTCATCGATTCGTTGACATCCGGGCTATTCGTCTGACATCACAAAAACTTTATTAAGTCTATACGTTGTCTTTCATTTTAAGAAAACGATAAGCGTTTTTCCTCGCGAAAATACCGTTTTCTAAAGACCATAGTGCTAACGTTTGGTACTTTTGAAAACACTGTTTCACCACCAAAGAGCTAATTTTTTTTAAAAAAAACTTTCGATTTATATGTAACTTGACATGCTCTATCCGATGAGCATAGTAAGATCCGCCCCGCTGAAACTTTTGTATAAAGTGGACGAACCTGTGTGGAAATACCTAGCACTACGGATTGGGTAGTTCTTCAAAATCATTGTATCAGAGCCTTCTCAAACTCTAAAGTACCGAGAAAATATTATGTTTATACATAATCGATATAGCTTTATCAAACGTACGACTCCGATTTTGTTTATTTGAAACTTTTTAATATCGTGTTTTTCTTCTCAAATGGTACAATGGTTATGCAATTCACTCATATACATAAGAGTGATTCTGATAAAAATAGTACCGTTTTTGTGAAAAAATTTGACTGAAACAAAAGCTAAACACCTAGGGTTTTTCTTATCATCTATCGATAGTGTGTGCCTAGGAGTATCACAAAACACGGGTTAGCAAACTACCACTAGTTTGTACACATTTTCTTTATGAATGGGCAAAAATTTTAGTACGCATAATAAAGTAACAGCAGTAGTTTCCATTTTATTGAAATACATATAATTAAATTAAAACGAAATATTTCAACGTTTCGAACTTTAAAAGTTCATTTTCAAGAATAAAACATAAACGTATCACTAGCTGGTTAGATTTACTAGTTATGATGCATGCAGAGAAAAATTTTTTTTGAAAACATTTGATTTTC